GTTGTTTCCAGCACTTCTACAAAGAGCCAAGGGAAACAAAAACCAGTGTGCAAACTAGTGTGGAACGTGAGTGTTTGCCTAGCTGAGACTCAACCCATGATGGTCCACACCTGAGAGTAACATTCACGTATGTATACTCTGAGCTATGATGACAAAAGATGGATATGAGAAAAACCATTATACATTTATGTGACCTGATCTAATCCTGTAACTTTTAAAAATACATTTTAAAACTACCAGAGATCTTCAATTAAAGCAAGCAATGAATAAAGTCCCAAAGAGATGGAAGCACAAATGGCATAGGATTAGAACTGGCTGGCAGGACAATCTGCTGGGACCTGGAACTTCCTCTTGTAGGGTCCATACATCTCTGATGCTGCAATCCGGTATATCGCTTGCTTAAAAGCCATTCATTTCAATGCATTTAAGTGATCTCACTGTGATGGACTGCAGCACAGAAGAAAATGTGCAATTTTACGATATACACTGTTTGTGTTAAACTGAGGGCTTCCCCGGATGCCTCAACTTGGCTACCACTTTTACAGTCCATACAGCACCATGCTGTCCTCTTCCGTTTTCCTTCAGCCCTTAATTTTCTAAGTGAATGTGTGGATGAGGACCCAGTGGTACCCAAGAGTTTTTTAGGCTCACATTCTGGTTTTGAGCAATATATCATCAGGGCAATGATGCTGGGATGATATATTGCACTAATACATCATAGGAGCACTATCACTTTTGTGATGTATTAGTATTATACACTATCAGAACACTATCACTGATGTATTACTCTAAAGAACCATTTTTAACCTTTTTTTGGTAAAAGCATCTTTAGCTTATTCCGAAAGCAATGGGCAGCAATAATAGTAACAACAAATAATAAATGATTAGGCTTTTGGCCAGGAGGGTGGCTGGAGAAGCCGTGAGAGCTGCTTAGAGCACCTCATTAACCCCCGCCCCCAACCGTGAGTTCTTTATATCCCAGTGAGTGAATGGCCCTCGTAAGCTGAATCACGTACAGTGAGCAATGCGCATTAGATTTCCTAATGAGCTGTTCTTCTGTGGACCTGGAGTACTATGAAGTCAAGGTCTCATTTGTGAAGGTGAACACAAGGATGTTGCTCACAGCATAGTTCCCCGACCCTGCCCTCGAGCTAGGCTCCTCCAGAACTTCAGATGCTCCGTGCGCATGCAGCTGCATGGAGCACTGGAATTAAACTGGATTCCTTGCCCCAGCAGGCAGGAATCAGCCTTCTCCAGACCTTTTAAATATCAGGTCCTGGTCCAACTGTGTATCTTCATAGTTGCAGTAACCTTTCCTTAATATGCCCTCCTTCTTCTGGAGCGGAAGAAAGAAGTTGTGACTACGGAAAACCCCGGGGATGGGCACACCTCCCTGCCACACGGGACTAAGGCAGCAACCTCAGTTTCTCCTCCTGAGTGGCCACCAAGTTTGGGCAGGGAGGCCGTCCCTCCAGTGGCTCACTGATGCTCTGAACGATTGAAGACCCCTTCACTTCCATCCCCCTGGTCAGACAGATCCCAAACACTAGCTCTCCCAGGGGCAGCTGCCTCTAATGGCTATTGAAGAAGCTGTTCTCTGCTTCTGATTCCCTTTTTACCTTCAAGTAATCCACCAGTGTGCATGTGTGTATGCATTCGTGTGTGCGCATGCATACGTGCAAGCGCGGGAGAGGGGGGAGAGGTATCTTTTAAAACCCGATGCAATCAAACAATCGAGGCTGCAGTGCTAAATCCTTAGTTGTGCTACATACTTCCTGCTGCATTCGGCAAGGGGTGGCATAGAAATGTTTAATAATAATAATAATAATAATAATAATAATAATAATAATAATAATAATAATATTCAGCGAGAGTTACTTCCGCAACTGTTGTCTAGTCACCTATATGTAATTTAACTGGGATGCCCCAGCTGGTATGTAAATTAGCTGCTGTTCTCTGAACAGATTTGCAAGCCCTTTGCAGACCAGCCTTTCGTTTTGGGCTGGTCTGGAAACTCTCTGATCTTTCCAGAGCGCATGTGAAGGGCAGGGAAGACTCACCTCTTCCTTGTCCCCATCAGCTTTACTTCTGAATATCGGCTGTCATGAACTCGCATAGACTTCTTTTTTTGAGGGGCAGGGGCTGCTGCTTTGTCGCACAAGATGGATTTCAGCCTATTCTTGTGTTTTTAGTCTCCTTCACTCCCTCTCTTCTGTAGTAGCCAACACTCTCTTCATTTAAATCTGTTTGTTGGCATCCAGGTTGGGAAATCTTTCTCCTTGTCACTTTCAAAGACTTGATAGTCACCTGTGTGCTGTACTGTCATTTCAATGAGACACAAAACTTAGATTGACAGCCTCTAATAATTCCACAGAGCCTCTCAACTTCCTCTCAAAATCTCATACCACAATGGATTTTTTTACCCTCTTCTTTCTTATCCTCTTTTCTCAGTGGATTTCTTCATAAAGCTAAAGAACAGTTTTACTGTTTTCTTCTGAAAAACAAGTTCCATGGGAAGCTGTGTTTGATAATAGAATTGCAATGAAAATATCTCAAAATGTATTGTATTTATAGTACAAAATACTGTACGTATTAAAGTATTCAACTCATTTATTATTTTATTTATTATTAGCATTCTTATTCCACTTTATCTGCTAAAAACCTGTAGAGGTGGTCTACAACCATTTAAAACAACAAAAGCCTAAGATGATAACAACAGCAACATTAAAAACAGCAAGACATTAAAATGACTCATTTTGAAAGGCTAACCTGAAATCTTGTGCATTTATGCCCTTTCTGAAGACCGAGAAAGCAAGAGACAATTTCATTCTTGAGGGAGTTTATTCCAAAGTTTGGGAGCCAACATAAGTGAAAGCTGTTTCACACACACCTGACAAACGGGCCTCTGAAGGCAGTGGCACCCTCAAAAGGCCCCTCCTGAGGATCTTAATTGCTGGGCAGTTTCATGGCAAGACAGGTGGTCCCTGAGATAATTGGGCCCTAAGCCACTGAGGACTTTGTGCATCCAAGCCAGCACTTGAGTTGTGCTAAAAAGCAACTGGCAAGCAGAGCAGGTCTTTCAAAAGAGGAGTTAGAGCACTGGGAATACTGTTTCATATTCCCAGTGAATTCTGGAATTCTGCACTTCTGGAATTCTGCAGTGTTTCCATTCCAGCAAGCATGGAAGATGGCACCAGTTTTTTTCCCCAGGTTTTGCACTTCCCTGCCCCCACCCCCAGGTTCTGCCATTTGTGCCAGTTGTTGTTTTAAATTTAGTCCTCTTGTGTACAGCACGCAAATAGGGGTTTGAATGAAAATCTGTGCCCTTTCAATGTCCTGGGAAGCGTCTGCTATCAACATTCAATAGGTACTAACCATGGACGTTGACCAAAAGAGGCTGCATGTACGTTACTTTGCTACTTTGCTCTCACTTGACAGCTATTAAATGGTGAGATGTCAAGTGAAAGCAAAGCTGATAAAAGATCTTGGCTTGGCCCTTTCACTCCCTCCATCGTGCCATTCTCTCTCTTCCATTCTGTTCCGATCTCTTCTGTGGATCTGACATTTTTCAGCATCCTGCACCTTTTCCACCCTTTGGCAAGACTTGAACTGCTTGGAAAAATGGAAACTCATGAGCCATCCCATTTATGGGAGCACCAGGTTTTGACAGCTTTAAAAACAAGAGGCTTCCTTTTAAAATGGCTGTCATGTAGAAGACCAGTTTCTCTTCTCAGTATGCCAGAGTGCAGGACACAGAATAATGGGCTCAAGTTACAGAAAGCCAGATTTCAGCCAGACATCAGTGTAAACTTCCTGACCATTAGAGCAGTATGGCAATAGAACCAATTGCCCCGGGAAGTAGTTGGCTCTCCCAGATTTGAGACATTCAACAGGCATTCGAACAGCCAGGGATGCTTTTTTGAAAAAGCTTTTACATGCCGTCCCATTACTAAAAGTCTCTGGACACTTACAAAGACATGCTTTAACTCGGAGTCCTACATCAAGCAGGGGGTTGTCCTTATAGGGCACTTCCAACTCTACTATTCCATGACTTTATGAATAAAATAAAAATTTTGACAGAGCTAAGTGGTTCTCCACACGACCACAAGGCCAGCTTTCTATTTGGCAGCTCTCAGATAAGCTCACATTAAGAAATTACCCTATTTGCTACCTCTCTTATTAGTGTCCATGCATTTTAACAGCAGTCACTTCCCAAGGCATTGAGCAGGTGTGACTTTTCATTTTGGACGCCTGTAAGTGTGCAAGTATGCAGTTGAAAAAGACAGGAATTGAAAACAAAACACAATTTGCACAAATTACAATTTGCTTGTTTCAAGGCCAGGGAAGGGAAGGGAAGGTGCAAGTGGCTGACGTAAAGCATAAAAGCACAACCCAAAGCAGAAATCACCCTTACAGGCTTAACTTGGTACAAATCAAGCTGATGCCAGCCAGGGGGAAATGCAACAGAATCCAGAAAGAACTGGAAAATCCATCAGGTTTTTCTCTTCCCAAAGAGAATTCTCATATATCCCTAGCCAATACAATGGCATTTTTTTGGCAAGGCAGCTCCTCAGACCCACAATGCAGGTGATAAGAAAACATTCCATTTTCTTTGATAAGGCAAACGCTAGTCTGGCCAGTACCTCACAGGGCCAACGAGCACACTTTTCCTCATATCTAATTCCACTGGCTACTTGGGTGGGGTAGGGAATATTTATTTACTTGTGTTGTCTCTAAGCTTGAATATCATCCTGGCTTATAATGAAATCCTTAAATATTTGAATGTTTCTTTGTAAACCACCATTGATGGCAATTGCCTTCACAGAGCAACTTCTGCAAAAGAATAAAATAATGAAAATAGAATAACAAAAACCGCAGTTTGCATCCGTAAGAATCAGGCAGAACCATACAGTAACAATGGCAGTATGAGCACTGCTCAACCTGTTTCTCTAGAAGATTATAATCAATATTATGTGTTTGATTTTGTTTTAATTCTTTAGCATGTCCATGTCCATATACTTCCAAGGAAGGCTGGAGATTTCAGCAAGAATGACAACATCTATGATGAGGTATGTCTGAGCTCAAAAAAGTTATTATTTGATCATTTTACTGGGTGTTGTAGTCTGAAAATGAATCTGATGGGAAAGCGTGATAAGCTGTATTTTCCATTTTCAGAACATTTAGATTGATTTTTAGAGGGGTTGAATTATACCCCAGTGATCTACATGATGTAGAGCAGAGGTGGGCAGACTGCAGTGTGGAGAGTCTACTTTTTTTGTTCACAACATCCTTGGGATCCATCAACCAGAACTACACACAAAAATGCGCACTTAAAGATAAGAATTCTGAGCTTAGGCAATACTTTTGGAGCTGAACGGAAAGGAACTCAGCATCTGGCCACACCCAAATCCCACCGCAGATTACATCCCCAGACATTCAGCCTTTATAATTTCAGTGGAATTATTTGGGCTAGGGGTTGGGAAGTAACTTGGTTGTTGCCATTATTAAATAACAAAGAGTTACTTACATCAAGACAACATACAATCTATCTGCAGTTCCTTGTTGACTTTCTTCCCACTCCTGTTGTAAATAATAGTTGTTGCTAAGGAGAAATTCAGACATGAATACTGAGATGCTTTGCAAGATTTCAGCACAAGAAAATGCTTTTGGAAATTTTCCTCCAGAACTTATATTTTTCATGTCAATATTTTGTTGCTTGTCATGCCTAATGACTACTGTTTCAGCACTTTTGGGGGGAATGATTTTGTGTGTAAGACAGAATATGTGCCTTCTTTTTCCTAGAAACAGTGAGGCCATCATATATATCATCAATCAGGTTTGGATGGTGGATATCTGAGTCTGGAATGGCTATTGTTTTAGTCCTAGTACTTGTCCATGTAGAACAGCGCAACATGCCTATCTGAGGATGGCCAACTGTTAGCAGCCTTATCAAGTTTCAACCAAAGTATGATATTACTTTATACTCAGAGCATTTTCTGTAAATGGAATCATGCTGGTAACTAACACACATTCTGTAAAGGCAAGAAATATTTGCCAGTCTGCTTCTTAGGTAATGACTTCATGAACTCCCAAGATAATGACCTGCCTTATATCTCACATATATATTATGAGTGAAGTACAAATATAATGAATGAATGAATGAATGAATGAATACATGAATGAAACAAATTCTACATACCTGTGAAGTAGGAACTAATGAATATGTAAGTTTTGCTTTCTCTCACATTTAAATGTTAAAATATTCAATTCTATCCTTCCCATATCAGAAGAAATTCTCAAATTTTGTAAACTCTGATCAAAAAGCTATCAACATTCTCACTTGTATTTACGAGTCAGTTTCAATGTGTACAGCCTGTCAGAAAGAAATAAAAAGTGACAATCCTAATTCAGTTATATAGACAGACATGTTTAAATACACAGGTGTTCAAACCCAGGCTTGTAAGAACTATATACTCAAAGCCTGGGGTTTGGATTAATGAATGACAGATTCATCTTCTCCTATAGTCACTTTTTAAGAAATCATGTTCTTCTTGTTTGATTTATGGAGAAACTTGTGAGTCTGAAGCTATTCTTACCAAATCTGAACCGAAACAAATTTCTCACTTATCCCTCATGTGAAGTTTGTACTGTTTGATGATGATAACTTTATTATCAACCCTGAGTGCCCACATGGAAGTCATATTGCATGCCAAAATAGATCCTGGACCAATTGACCATCTCAAAAAACAAGGTGGCACGCAAGAATAATGAACGTGGCTGTCCATACACAAACAGTAGAGAACCGTACAAGTATCTTGGTGGATTGCTGCCATGTGCGATGAGAATGGACCTCCGTAGCAAAGTAGGCCCAAGCCTAATGACATTACTGTTGCTAAGCTGTATTATACATGGAAGAAAAGATCAGCCATTCCCAAGTATGAATTATTCAGTGTAAAACTTTTAAACTGGCAATGGAATTCAGCATGCAGCGTCCTCTCCCTTGCCTCTGACATTCAGAGACACAGCAAGAAAATCACTTAGGGAAAGATATTTTGACTTAGAGATCTCATTCAGCGCATTATGCTAAATCATTTTGGCGGCACAGGAATACCTATTAGGAATCACTTTCAATTTCAGGGGGTTGGAGGAAGTGGCTCGGCATAAGAGTTAGCAGCTTTCTGGCTTCCATTTCAGTCAAGTCGAACTGGGGAACAGAAGCGCATTCATAAGCCAATTTCCAAACACTCTGAAAATTTCAGTTGCTGGTAAAATAGCTTCCTTGAGCTTTGACTGTCACACATCACTGCCTCTTAAGCCAGCCCTCCTTGGAAACCATTTTCATGAGTGAGGAGGAAAAAACAGACATGCAGATTCTTTCTTCTCGGTCTCCCCAGCGGCTTCTCAATACCTGAACAATTTCAAGTTGCTGGAGAATGAATGCTCGCCTTCATAATCTTATAACTTTGTACAATGGGAATATTTAGAAAGCTGTCATTACTGAGACTACTGAACCCTTACTAAATAAACTTAAAGATTCCTATGAAATGTTCTTCAAATCACTTGGTGCAATGAAAAGTCTGCAGATGTTCAGAAGGTAAATATGAAAAAAGAAACATGGTTCTTCATTAAATTCATGCAGTCCCCGGGTTATGAACAGGTTCCGTGCCTGAGAAAATGGAAATTCGTCTTTAAGTTGAGTTTGCATGTAAGTTAGATCTTGTATAGTCGGCATTCCACATTCACAGGTGTGAAGGGTGCAGGATCCCATGGAAGTGAAAAAAACAGAAATATCTCTAGGCTTTTCCCCCTACCCAAACTCCCCAATGCCTTCTCTTTGCAGCAAGGAAATGCCGGAGAAATTATTTCCCTTTCCAGATGGGCAGGGCAGGAAGGCCTGCTTTGGAGGCCCTCTCTCCCTTTCACTTTCTCTCTCTATATAGTGGTGACAAGTTTCCACAGTAATATTTTAAAAGTTAATATATTTTGCTTTATAGCACAGTTCTTTTATCTTATGACTTAAGCAGCTGGGTTTAAGTTACCACTGGGCTTGTGGAGCGGAGGAGGGGAAGACAAACAAAGAGTTTTCAATTTTGTGAGGAAAGGCTGCTGTGATCTCCCATTTCAAAACATGATAAATCTTTGATGGGTTTTTACCAGTGTTTTCTATGGAAGGCTGCCAATTCCAGCAAACTGAGGTCAGATTTTATTTATTTATTATATTTCTACACTGCCCATCAGCCATCAAGATTTTCATTGAGATTCAGTGGGTATTAACAGTACCGGTTATTCAAATACCGAAGGCATTTCATCTAAGAAACCTAAATCTAAAAAAAGGATTCTACTCAAAATCATGCCAGGCAACCTTGCAGCCATATCCTGGGTGACCAGCCAAAATGGCACCATCTCTAAATGTAAAGAAACCTCTGTGAGACCACTCTGAACTGAATGGTATTCGACAACTACCTCTCTGTTGCAAATAGCCTGTCTTAGGGAAGATACTTGAAAGGGTTCTGGCAATGCAACTGCAGGCATTCTCGGAGAACGCTGTTAATCCCAGACAGGGCTTTGGGCTTTGTTAATCCCAAATCCGCCTCGCTTGCCCTGATGGATGACCTTTACTGAGGCAAAGATGGGGGAAGTACAACCACTGCTCAATCTTCCATCAGATTTTGATACCCTTGACCGCGTGGTATTTTGTAGGGTTGCCTTGGTGCCTGGACATCAGAGGCACTGTGGTCCACATCTTACCTGTGGGGTCAGTTCCAGAGAGTAACTCTCAGTGATTATTCCTTGGCCTCTTGGCAATTGAGCTATGGGTTCTGCAGCGCATCATGTTGTTCCTGGTCAACTTCTGTGTGAGGCCGTTAGATAAGGAGCCAAGAGCCATCAGTATGCTGATGACTGGCAGCTCTGCCTCACTGTGCCATCGAAATCAAGAGAGGTTGTGCAAGGGCCAAGTCCTCCTCCTAGGAAAAAGAAACCAAATGCATTGATACAAGACGGGGAATACGTGGCTCAACAGACCTGAAAAAAAAGATCTTGGAGTAATTGTGGACAATACGCTAAACGTGATCCAACGATGTGATGCAGCCGCCAAAAGGGCAAATGCTATTTTGGAAAGCATTAAGAGAAGTATTAGTTCCAAATCACAAGAAGTAGTAGTTCCCTTATACTACTCAGTAGTCAGATCTCACCTGGAATATCGTGTTCAATTCTGGGCACCAAGAAAGGTGCAGGTAAATTGGAAATTGGAAAGGGTCCAGCAGAGGGCAACAAAAATGATCCAGGGTTTGGAAAGCCCTGTGAGGAGAGACTGAGAGAACTGGGCATGTTCAGCCTTGAGAAGAGAAGACTGAGAGGGGACATGATATCCCTTTATAAGTACCTCAAAGGCTGTCACAAAGAGGAAGGTCAAGATCTCTTCTTGCTGATGCCAGCATGCAGGACACAGAATAATCAATTCAAGTTGCGACAACCCAGATTCAGGATGGACATCAGGAAGAGCTTCCTCACTGTCAGAGCAATATGACAGTGGAATCAGCTGCCTAGAAAGGTGATAGTCTCTCCCACACTAGAGACATTCAAAAAGAAACTGGACAGCCATCTGAGTGGGATGGTGTAACATGGTGTCCTGAAACAGCAGGGGCCTTCATGGCCCCTTCCAACTCTACTATTCTATGATTCTAAGTTCTGGATCAAAGCATAGAGTCAGTGATGGGCAGGATGAGGGCCAATAAACTGAATCCAAATCCTGGCAAGATAGAAGACATGTTGGTGGGTAGCTCCTGAGTCTGAGAGCCAGGCTCGTTGCCTGTCCCGGATGGCCTTGCCCTCTCTATAGGAGCTGGTTCATAGTCTTGAGATGATCCTCGAACTATCATTTCCCCCAGGTGCCCATGGTGGATTGGAGGGTCTTTTACAAGTACTGACTACTTGGCAGTTATGGCTTGTCTCAGGCAGAGACAGCTTGGCCACACTGGAACAACCACTAGCAACCTTGGGCCCAGCTTACTGCTCTGTGCTCCATGGGGCTCCCCCTTAAGGCTGCTCCTCTGATTGTTGCCATGAG